AAACCCCTTGCTTGAATCCGGGCTGGCCCACACCCAGAGCCAGGGGGGCTGGGTGGGGGCGTGGCTGGGCAACGTGGCCACCTTCTCCGGGTATCAGGATGTGACTTCTAAAATCTGCCCTGTGCTGGTGGGTTTCCTCACCAAGACCCATTCTTGGCCTGCCTCGTCCCCTAGTAAATGGATTTCCTCAGGTCCCTCTGTGCATGGGCACCCACTGACGTTCCATTTCTTTTGTTGTTATAAGCTTGGAATTTGTTCACCTCTGAGACGGAATCAAGAGAGACTTTTCAGATAGCAAGTGTGACTGGGGCGCTGCCCCTGGACCCCCTCACACCCACCCCATGCTCAAATGCTACGATCCAAGACAGTGCGTTGAACTTCTCAGGAGGGGAGTCCTGAGTCTCATGATTTTTATTTACTTACTAGAAGAATATTCCTATTTGAGGCCCGTCAGAAAGAGGCTCAAATGGTCAGTCTTCTTGGATTGCTGCATTTTCAAAGAAAAATAAAAGCAATACATGTCAGTAGAGAAATCCATGAAAGTGGAAAGAAGACAAACCACTCAGAATTTATTTGCCGAGAACAGCTAATGGTTTGGGGGTAATTTGGAGGTATTACCTTCCAGCTCCTTTTCATTGGCTCTAATCATGAAAAGGATCTCTAAAGAGCAGTGCCTACCCTCTCTCCCCCACGCTACACACCCCAGAGTCAAACACATAACACACTGCCTGGAAGGCCAGCAGTCTACTGGGAAGTCAGCTTGATCCGTGGCCTTTCATGAAAGGCGCTGCATTTTATTTGTCTTTTAATATCTACAGTTTGGCAAACTCTTCTATGCAAAGGTTGGGGCTGCACCCGGAGCTCAGGTTTCCAGGGAGCAGTATGCTCCTGACATTGGGGTCGTGGGTAGAAAATCCACATGTGATCAAGAAGCTGTGAGGCTCCCTGCTCATCAACCCCAGGATCACGACACACCGCAGGGACCACCGAGCCTCCCACGTGCAGGGCGAGTGCGTAGGAACTGTGTTTGGATAAGTGAGAGCAGAAAGAAAAAATGGAATCCCTCCTACAAGTCCTTAAAAGCCAAGCTCAAGTGTTTAGGCTCTGTGTTGAAGGCAAAATCAAGTTCTTGAAAGGTGGTTAGTGTAGCAGTCACAGACGAGTGTGTGTTCTAGAAGTGAGTGACAGTCGCTCAGTCGTGTCCGACTCTTTGCGACCCCGTGGACTATAACCTGCCAGGCTCCTTTGTCCATGGATTTCTCCAGGCAAAAATACTGGAGCAGGTTGCCATTGTTCTAGAAGAGTTACTGTCAGTTCCAGCATCCCAGAAGACAGGATTGTGTCCGATCATTCTCCCTGAATCCTTGATGCCCAGGAGGCACAGAGGTGGTACCTCGTAATTCCAGTCTCCCCAACCACAAAGCAGGTTCACAGGAACACCCTCTGTGTGCCCTTCTGCTTCTCTGGCTTGGGATGAGGTCTAGGGGGAGTGAGGGTGGTTCAGGGATGTGTGATTTGGGGGGGTTGAACTGCCAGAGGCTGGCACTGGAGCTAGGCATCACGAAGGCAGAAGCATCAGCCATCACTGTGGCCAGCCTCGGGACGTGTGGAAGGAAGACGGTCCGGAGGAGAGATCTCTGGGGAGCACGAGCATTTTACCTGGAAGACTGAGAAGGTCCGCTTGGAGGGGCAGGCACTCAGGGGTCGCTGAGCAGTAAAAGCCTGAGCGTGGTTTTGAATAAGGAAACACATTTACCAACGCCTGGAAGATGGCTATGGGAGGAGCTTGTCTTCATTTCCTGGCTGAATCTTAGGACGTTTGTCTACTTGCCCACAAGTATGTACATGTGGATAGGAGACTGCTCACATGGCTTTTGAGGGCTCCCAAGAATGAATTTAAAAAAGAAGAAAAATGTATGCTTTGAATTAGATCTACGTGAAAAAAGAGAAAGAAAAAGAGGCAGCAGGCTAAGCTGTGCGTCTGGGCCACTGGCTCTCCTCCAGGGATCTTCAGGAGAGTTGGCTTTTAGCATGTACAGAAAGAAAGCGAGTCATTTCTCAAACTTGGATTTCCTTGTCTGTTTTGCCCTATCGATATGAATCTGAGCCCTCATATGTCTTTTTTTCCAGCAAGTAAAGCTTGCATGACATTGTTCAGATTGAGAAGCAGTTTGGATCCAAATATTATCATAGAGTTAGCTCTTTCAAGTTTTTTTTTTTTTTGCTTTGGACCAACAAATATTTTAAAAGTTAGGTTCTGAACTCCAGAAAAGCCAGCAAAAACATTTAAACATATGGACTCTGTGTGTGTGTCTGTGTGTGTGTGTGTGTGTGTGTGGGTGTGTGGTTAAACCAAGCTCAGTAGAGATTAGTTTACAGCAGTCTGTCTTTCTCTCTGCCTTTTTCCCTCCTCTATCTTTTTCTTTCTTTCTTTTAGGAAGCCAGAAGGATAAACATGTCGCCATGGAGTTCTGTTTAAAATAAAATACAATGGAAAGAAAAGCAGCATGATGAAGTAACCACATGGACGGCAGGATACACCTGATACTAATTACTGTCATGCAGAATGTTCTGGAAGACATTTGACTCGCCTGATGTATACATTCAAATCAAGCAGAGCAGGACTGGAAGGCTCCTTGGGGACCATCTTGTCCAACTCTTTCCTTTTTCCAGATGAGGAAATAGGGGCCCAGAGTGAAAGGCCTGGACAGCAGCCTCCCAGTTAAAGAGGGAGCAGAGCTAGGATTCAAACCCGCGGCGCTTTTGTCGGAAACACAGGCTTTCCAGGGTCTTTTACCTTGGCCTGTCACTGAGACCTTGAAAAAGAGGAGTGGGATTTGCTTCGAAGCTCTGAGCAGCAGGCCGAGGAGCCAAGGAACCCAGAAAAAAAGCAGAGAGGCGGACTCTGCGCCGGGAGGCCCACCTCTCCTCCCGGGGGCCAGGCCTGGAGGACGGAGATGCGCATTGGCCATCTGGAGTTTCTCTTTCCAGGGCCTCTCGGAGGCACCCCAACCAGAGGCGGGGGCTCCTCCCAGAGCATCGCTCATGTCCTTTCGGGGCTGCAGGAATGACGCCAGGAGGCCGTCTCTGGAACAGCCTCCAGGGACCCCGAGTGCGTAACTACTGACGCTCTCTGGTGGCCGCCTCGGCTCCCACGCAGACTTCCCACGCGCGGAGGGCGAGCTGGCGCCCCCATGACAATGCGCACCCCTCGCCTCTGCCCCCCAGAGGCTAGCAACCGGGCCTGCGGGTGTCTGATTGGCCGCGCTGGCTTGACGACAGGGGCTCCTGGACGCTGATTGGTCCCCGCTGGCTCCGGCTGTTTCCTAGCTATTAATACCGTGGCTAATAAACGCTCTCCTGTTGACGAGGATGCTCGGAGCCATGATTTTTTGAAGCTTTCTTGACACCCGTGGTTGGTGCGGGCCTTTCAGTTTTGCAAGTCCCGCGGCCGGGGCTCTAGTCTCAGGGGTACTTTGCACGCTCTCAACTAGGCTGTAAATGGGGTTCTCGTCCCCCTCTTATGTTATCTGACACTTTAAGGTAGCTCCTCGCCATGGACCCCAAAGGCCACTTTATCTTCATCTGCCCAACAGCCCGCCTGTAAATGAGCCCCCTGCCCAAGGCTCGGTGTCTCGTGCGACCGGGTGGTCCGTTTTCACTTCCCTGTCTCCAGCGGTGGGCTCACAAATGGCTCAGTCCCTTCTTTTCTGCCCAAGAATCTCCCGACAGTGTTATAGTCACCTACAGGATCGCTGGCCACGGCGCGGGGCGAGGGCGGGGGGGCGGGCGTGTTGTTGGCTCCGAAGCTCCCCAGAAGTGCACGGGAGCCCCTTCTAACTTGATACCTCCTGCGGGGCCCCCTCTGTCTTTCCCCTTAGGGAGCCGTCGCTCATTCTTACCCCTCTTCTGTCACCAGGCGCTTCATCCTTGTCCTCCCGGCTGCCACCCACCTGTCGCCCTAAGATAGATCCTTAGTCCCTTTCAACAGCATTTTGACCTTTGCGAGAGGACATTTGATTGACGGTTCTGCCCACTCTGCCACTCGGTGCCCGGCAGAGCTGCCGAAGGCGGCACCTGTTAAGGATTAAATCTCATGTGCCAAGTCCCGGAGTCCGAGGCCGTGAAGCTCTGGTCTGCGGCAACATGTGTCGCTGCCTGTTTCCCCGGGGGTGGGGGGGGGGGCGCTTTTCAAAGTTGTATGTGTTGGGAAGTGATCTCAAATTTGGAGGGGGGTGCCCTACGTATCTCCCGGTGGGACACGGACCTCCTTGAAAAGTACTTTCCCTATAGGGACACATCTCGAGTCTAGATTACTACAACTCCCTTTCTTAGGGGTGCCCCCGCTTTTCTTTAAAGTGGAGGAAACGGACCTCCTGGCAGGGGAGGGGGGCATTGCCGGGTTCTGGGGTACCCAGACCGTAAGCGGCAGAGCCGGGAACTCACAACTCGGTTTTTCTGACTTGGAGGTGCACTATGGAGTCTCCTGATCAGAAAAGGACGGGTAGGCTAAAAGGGAGTGACAGCCGCCGACTTACGTTTGGGTGCCGCTTGTCTCGCCTAGGCATTTTATTTCCCAGGACAATAAGCAGAAAGCATCATTTTCTTTCCCTAAGCTGCAGCCTCTGATAGAGGTTCCGAAATAGCCAGGTGTGCGATCTGCCGCCCCCAGCGCCCCAGCTTTGCCCTCCGCCCGCCTGAGGACAACCACCCCTTGTCGAGGGCTCCCAGCAAATCGTGCACAGAAATCTCCCCCGCGTGGCGCGAGGGGCTCGTGGAGGGAAAAAGCACCAGCGAGCTCAGGGTGTTGGTCATGGCGGCGAGGGGCACTGCGGCAGAATTTTTTCCTCCCTTCTTTGCTGCAATCTGGGTGCGGCTAGAGCAATTTGTCATAGAATCTGGGGGGCTCATTTTTCCGGCCAATCACTTTTGGAGAAATGAGCGCATTGCAGCAGAATGCACTGACGTCAGAGACCACCCCTTCTGCGCCTCCATATAAACCCCACCCAGCCAGCCCCTAGCGCAGACGGCGGAGAGCTGGGATGGAGCGCGCCTTGGCCCGCTGGCCTGGGCCGCTGCTCCTCCGGAGAGCCCGGGCGCCCACGCGAGAACCTCCCTACCCGGTGAGTGGTTGGCCATCCTTTGCCCGAAAGGATGTGCAAAAGGAAGACGACACCCCCTTCTGGGCTGGTCTCCGTCCTACTGGACCTGCCGCGAGATAGATACCCGAGACCGACTCCTGAAGGCGACCACTTCGCCTGGTCCCCGAGCGTCGGCGACAGAATCGTGTCGGGAAGGAAAGTGTCGAGGCACATTTTCCTGGAGGACGGGAGAAAAAAAAAAAAAAGAATCACAGGGCCCCTCTCCAGTTTGGTCACTGAGGGTAGGCTGGGTGGTCGTGGCTTCAGTTACGAAGAGTGGGAGGAATCTGATCAACCCCCTGTCAGAGGCCAGTGTGCCGTGGTCACCGCGGTCCAAAACTGAGATTTTCTGGGTTTGAAGCCACCTTGAGAATCACGAGTGGCGAGAGACGTGGCGGTGGATGCATTCTGCATTCTCTAAGAAGTGGGGGGGAAGCCCCCCGAATGCCAGAGTCTCCCGGGCATATTTTCCCGCTAGTTTTGGCCAGGTTCTTGGTGGCTGTAGGCGTCAGAAGTGGAGGTACTTATCCGCTAGGGGTTCCGAATCGAAGTACACAGGTTAGTGCAAAGCCTACTCCAGTCAAAATTCAAACAGTAGCACTGCTACCTGATATTTTCTGGTTTATTAAAATAGTGGAGAGATATGGCGCCCAAGTGCAAACCGTCCAGCCCCCCCCCCCCCCCCCCCCCCGAGGACGAGTTCCGTGCAGGAGGGCGGCTGGGGTGGGGGGAGCGGGTCAAGTGATTGGGGGCGCAGGCAGAACAGAGGCAGGGGGTGGGTTGAGGTGGAGGGAAGGCTGTGTCCTTGGGTCTGGAAGGGGCTGGTCAAAAGGGAAGAGAGAAATACAGAAAAGGGGGGCGTGTTGGGGGAGTTCTGGGCTCTGGGAGTGGAGAACTGGGGGATCGGGGGGTCTTCTCGGTGTTGCGCGATGGTCCCTGGAAGGTTCTGACGTGTTGTGGGCTTTTGATTTTTGATCGAGCCGCCTCTTGCAGTTTCCTTTGTCCCTGTCAAGCACCCCCCCCACGCCGCCCCCTCCCCACGGTGGGCCGGCGGGCTTGGGGAGGGGGAGCGCGAGCGGGTTGCTACGTGGCAGGTTTCTGGAAGGTTTTCTCGTTGGCCGCCAGAGGGCGCCCGCGGCACTGCGGAATTTTGGGGGGCGGGGTGGGGAGGGGAGGTGGCCTTTGTTCTCCTGCTGGAGGGGGTCGGGCGCGGGATTTCCTGGAGAGTTCTGGGTGCATCTACCTAGGGGAGAAATGTTTTAAGACCCCCGGGTTCCCTGGGGGAGCCGTTGCAGGATTTCGCTCTGGGTCGCGATGCCGTGGTCGGCGCTGATTGCGTGACCTAGGGCGTCGTGGAAGAGCGTGGACACAGATGAGTTTATTTCGGCCGGTTTGGGTTTTGAGGGTCTGAGAAGGTGTGGCTCATCTGGGTAGGATGGAGAAGCTGTGAAACGGTTAATTAGGCGCCATCGTGCGGGGGTCTTGAGATTCTTACTGTGGCGGAGAAAAGGAGACGAGATTTGGGGTGGGGTGGGGGACTCGGTGGTGGTCTGGGTAATTTTAGACGGTTTTGGCTACCTTTATTTTATTTCCTAGTGGTACCGTATTTTGTATCATGTGTCCAGAGACACATAAGTGTGTGAAAATAGTGTACTGAAACCTGGACCTTTATCATTTTAATTTAATTTAATTCCATTTTCTGGAGGTTGGCGCCAAGATTTCGGTGTTTTTACCCATCAAAAGTGGAATCTTGTTCTGGAAAGACGCCTATGGCGACTGTCCCTTGAAATGCTCAGCTCTGTCGGGTGCCAGATCGACCCCTGCAGTTGGGGGGCGCAGAAGGACCTCAGGACCTGTATGGGGGGGCGAGCGGCCCCCCATAGAATCCACAGGTGGATTCTGGCTGGCGTCGGCCAGCGTGGCGTTTAGGGGACCCAGCGGCCCTGCGTGATTGGCTGGGGTGGGCTCTGCCCCCCCCCCACACTTCCGTAGGCCTGAGACCTGTTGGGCGCCCCCTCCGCCTGACGCCAGCTGTGCCCCTGGCAGCTGCGGGCCGGGCGCGGGCGGGGGCGGGGGTGCGTGCAGGTGTCTGCTCCCAGCTTCTGGGTGCTGGCCGCGCGCCCCCTAGCGGTCTGTGTCTGCAAATGGCTCTCGGCCTGCTAACCCAGGCTTCAGGTTGCGCATGCGCACACCGTGACCACTTGTGCCCTGTCAATCAAATTTTCCTTACCCCCTCCCACTTCTCTCCCTCCGCCCCTTCTCACTGCCTCCTCCCTCTCCCTCGGACTGCCCCCTCCCTCCCTCTGCTGTTCCCCTGCTGGCCGTTAGAGGTCATCAAGACGGTTTCTAATTGTGCCCCCTTTCCCCTGCCCAGGGTCTGTCTAAAAGGATGACACCTTCCGTCTGATTCCCTGCCTCCAAGGACCACCTGTGGATGACGAGCTGATGCCCAGGTGCTTGCCGCTCACCTCCGTCTTATGGTACCTCAACCCATCCTGGTGGCAATGAAACCCAACACCGTGGGCAGAACCCCCCACCCCTACCACCCTACCACCCTGCTTGCACCACCCCCTGGCCCATTAGCAATTAAAAGACAATTTAAATTTTTAACTAGTTAGTTTTAGTTCTAATTAATTTCAATTTTAACTAATACCTAGACTTGGCCTTCTAACCTTTGATCTGTTGCAGAGGACGCCAGGAGCAGGGGTTCCTGGATCCCACCAGCAAACAAAGCAACCCCTGGGCAGTGACCGCCCCCGCAGGACGCCGAAGGATGAAGAGGACCCGAACTGACCACCCCGCTGTCCCTCTTGGCTAAGTGTTGAAACCAGTGCCCTAGTGAGGGGGTGCTGGTTAACCTTGGACTTTCGATGTGCTTCTGCCTTGATGCTTTGCTTTTCTATGTGCGTCTGCTTTGTTAACCTTCCATCAACCTGGAGGTTTCACCATCCCCAGGGAGGTGTCAGTCTTTCTCAATCCACCCCGTCACCACCCCCAGGATGGTCTGAAAGGAAGGGTCCCTTTGGGAACTTCTCAGGAGGGAGACCTGGGCCAAGGGCTCGACCAGCATCTCCCTGGCAATTCCAAGGCCCCGGATGGGCTTCTGGAAGGAGCATGTGCCCCGAGGCCATGCTACCGAACTGCCAGGGGCATCCCCACCTCCTCTGAGATCTCCTCGTCCTTTCTGGGGAACGGGATCGAGCAAAGCAACCTCCCAGGGTGTTGTGAGTGTTGGTCTGATACTGGGAAGCCGGTAAGGCCAGGCATAGAAGAGGCGGTCAGTTAATGTTTTTCCAAACAGGTTGGTCGGCCATGTACCCCTCACCCCTCTCATCACCTGTCTCACGCTTCTCGTTTATTCTTCCACAGCGCTCCGGACAAGCCCAGTCCGCAGGGCTCTCGGTGCACCAGGTAGGGCTGTACTCAGCCAGGGGTCGAGCTGAGCTAGTCAGGATATGCACGTACATGTGGTCATTTCAGAGCACTTCCTATGTCCTGTGCCTGTGTTATTGCCGTGTCGGACATCCACGTGAGCGAGGCCGCCTCGTTTACAAATGAGAGTGAATGTGGCCTCGGTTTGAGTCATTTTAAAAGGTAGAGGGCAAGAAGACAGAACTGAGTGACACTTAGAGTGAGGTCGCTGAGGCTGGAGGAGTGTGAGCGTTTTGTCACGTTCCTGGCAAGAGAAGGGGTCAGAGTTGGACCCCGGGTGCCATTGGGGGCTGCCCCTTCCCCCCACCCCCGAGTTACACTCAGAGCCTTTTGATTTCCACTCCAACGTTTGACAATGGGACAGCCTGTTTGAGATCCCAGCTGCCCGGGGTGGTCTTGGGGGTCTTGGGTGGCCCCAATGCTGGTACGATGTGCTGGTCCCACCTCTCAATAACGGTGTGACCTTAAATACGTTGCTTAACTTCTCTGAGTCTCAGTTCTTTTCATGGCCTAAATGGGGATTAGGGGGGGAAAAAAAAGCAACACAAAAAGCACCCGCATTTATCTACCCCACATGGCGCTTTTGAAGGCCAAATGATGTAACCACTATGAAAGTGCTTTGTAAATTGCTGTGGAAATTGCGAGATACTTAACACCAGGAGGCTGTCCCTCATTATCACATGCCCAGCCTTGTCCCCCCCCACGCCCCCCCCCCAGTAATAACAGCTAGCACCCACTAGGTGCTGTGTGTTTGCACTCAATAAATAAATTCCAGAAGAAATAAAAACAGAATTAATTCAACAAACATTTTCCGGACTGCCTACAATATGCCCCGCACACCAGGCCTGGAATGTGATACAAAGATGATGACAACAAGTCTCTTGGAAGCTAATTGGGGTCCTCGTTTGACCAGCACTTTCTTTCCTCCCCTTTTAAGCCAACCAGTTTTGTCCGGACGAGACAAAAACAACTCGGGCTGCTTTAGAGAAACCCGGCTTGGTGTAGACAATAGCTCCCGGGCTTCTGAAAGGGGCTGATTGGATTATGTGGCAAATGAAGGTGGAAAGATGACTTGGGAGGTGGCAAATGAAGTGGGCGGAGATCTGCTGTGAGTTAATCCAGGCTATTAGGAGGGACCTTTTGTCTTCCAAAGGCTGGCAGGAGCTTTCACCACTGGGTTTTACATCCTTAATGTAAGGACGCATAATTTATGGTCAGTGAAAACCCAGGCCCCAGTGAGATTTGAGTGGGCTGTAAAATTGAGCGTCCTGCTACCAGTGAGTAATTATAGGGGACATTTATGTCTCCCTTTGCAGTTGGCAAAGGCCTTTTTGCAACCATCAATTCATTTGAACCTCACAACTCCCTGTCCGGACCCCGGGCTGGCCTGCACCTCCTAGGGAACAGAGGCTGTCAAGCGGCCTTCAGATGAGGGCATCTGAGGCGTCCGACAGGGTAAACGGAGAGGAGGCCCCCCGCCCTGGCCCCTCCAGCCTCTCAGACCTGGCCCTTTGGCCACAAGCGAGTCCCTCCAGATCCTAACTTTGCTTTCCTCAGCAGCTTCTGAGCCTCCGGGCCTCTCCTGGCCTCCTTTCTAGCCTCTGTCTCTTTCCTTCCGCAGCCCCGCCTCCTGTAAAGCCTATCTACATACGCTGTCTTCCTTCCTCACCTTCCGTTTCCCCTCCAACCCACCGCTTCGTGGTCTCCTCTGGTCTGTTGAACTCCACCAGCTCTAAGGTAATGACTTTTCTGGAGCTTAACTCCAGACACGTTTCCGGCTCCCGGACGCATGGACACGTATTCAATGTTTCTCTCACGGTCTTCCCAGCTCCTGGTCCCTGGTGTTGACAGACAGCCCTCTCCCCTCCACCCCCTGACCTGTAGATGGTACAGAGTCACCTGCTCCTGGCCCTCCTCCTTCTTAACCTCTCCTAGAAGAGTATCCAGCCCTTCCAGAACCTTCCAGAACCTGCCTCTTGGCATCTTCTCCGGGTTGGCGTCCAAACCACCTAGAGCTGAGGCCTCGAGGTAGCTCAGTGTTTCCAAGCCTTTCCACCTTTCTCTCAGTTGCAGAATAGTTATCTTTACCTGGCAGGTCAGGTGGGCTACCCTGCAGGTAAAACCTCAAGTTCCCACTATTCGAGGAACTTGAAATAAATTCAGTCAAGTATTCATGAGAAAATACAGCGAAGGTTGCCATCTGATTTTCTTGTAGGTTAAGTTCCCACAGGAAGGAGTGCAAGGGAGAAAAAAGAAGTGGGGGGTGGGGGCAAGAAAGAAGCAAAGACCAGAAAAAGGCCCCCAAGACAAAAAAAGGAGCAAAGGGAGACTTAGAAAATAAGAAAACCCACCCCCCAAAAAAATATCCAGAGAAAGGTTCCTTCTTGGGTTAGGCGAAAAGAAAGTAAACAGGAAAAAGGTTTTCAATTGATTATCCCAGTGACAAGTCCCAGGAAGCTTTCAAATCAAATTGCCCCATTTTAGGTTTTTAACTCCTTCTATCGGGTTTAACCTCTTTACCTCCTGCATCCTGGTTAAACCCTCCTCCTGGCCCCCTTGGCTGGTGATTAAATCCTGAAGGTACATGGAGCCTTTCAGTGAATGAATGGCCAGCAGAAAGAGCCCCCCCTCCCCCCAGCTGTGTTTTTCAGTTTTATCCCACTTTCTGCCCTTTTCCCCTAATGAACACAGGGCTAATCTTGGGCCTTGTCAAGGAAGAGGCTGTAGACCTTAATGAGGTAGCTGCTGGATTCCAATATTCATCTCATAAGGAGCCTTCTTTGTCTGAGAAGGAAAGACACTGATTATCATAATGAGGTGAACTGCGGCTGCAGGGCAGGGGCAAAGAGGGTCTGAAGCCACACTTCTAATTTTGGTGCTGGAGCCCAGAGACTCATTCTGCTCCCCATTCAAGTCTTTGCCTCTGTCCCAGCTCGTGCATGGAGCGAGGTTGAGAGTTGCAGGCCGCTTTGGGCCACAGATGAGGGCTGCTCTGCAGAAGAGTTCCTTTGTTTGACCCTGCGTGCAGACCAGCCCTGGGCCAGGGCAACTCGGGCCTCTGGGATCAGTTTTCCAGGAGCAGAGAGACAGAGATGCGGGTCTGGCTCACCCCGCTGTTAAACTTAGGGCTCCCCAGTGTTAAACCTGTGAGACTTCCAAATGAAAAGTAAGAAAAGTAGAAAAGGAAGTCCTAGGTGCAGACCCCATGCAATTGTAGCCGTCTGCGGAATGCCCCTTCCAGGTCAGGAAGTGGATGGGTATTGGTACCCCAGCACAGCCCCCTCCTCGTAGAAGGACAGCTGGGGGCTCACCCTCAGCCCCTCATATGATGAGAGTGCCAGTGGTCTGTCAGGACCACTCAGATCCAGTATCCAAACCCAGCGTCGCCCACTTTACCCCCTAACGGTCCCTCGCATGTGTCCTGCGCCCACTCTGCCCCTTGGGCCTCTCCTTCCGCGTTTGTTCTTGAAACCCCTGGGACCCTTTCATGTCTTCAGGGCAGGTGTGAGTCAGAAACTTGCCCTTATGAATCCTGAGTTCTGGATGTTCCTCACCTAAAGGCAGATCAATCAGGATTAGATCACTCCAGTTAAACCTCAGACTCCAGCCAGACCTTCCGCCACATGGGGGAAAAAAAGGGAGGGGAGGAGAAGTGGAGTGTTTGGAGCAAGAAAACTTGATTAGTTGAAAACTTACAGTCCTCTCTCCCTCAACTTACCTGTTGGCTAAAGGTCCCCTGGTGTTGGTGGATGAGATTTAGACATTTCCTGAGTCAGCGAAACCACCTCCCATCCAGCCCACTAGATGACAAGTGTGGACGGCAGCCCAGATGGCCAGCTGGGGCCGCTCCATCGCTTTTGGTGGTGGGGACCCCAGATGTTGCCCAGACTTGGGGGCTGGATGGGGTGAGCACTTCTGAGAATAGGGGGTCCCACCAAAACTTGCTTCTTCTGTGCAGTTTGTGGAGAGTAAACTTCTAGGGCAGCTCCTGGTGTTCTAGAAGGATTATTTCTAGAAGTAGGAAAAAGAAAATCCGTAGAACCCTTCATACCCTCAAATACATACCAATAATTAAAATACCTGCCCCGGAGTCATTAATATTTTAGCATTTGAGAACCCAGGTAGGAGGTGGAAGGCAATTGAACTCATCTTCTGAGGCCACTGGCAGCGGGGTGTCTGTGCTCGTGACTCCTGAGTGGACGGGGGACTGCTTTAACCTGTGTCCTTGTTTCTGTGGCCCCCCTTCTGCACCTGAACTGACACAGCTCCCCGCTCCCCATGCGCACGGGACACCTGCCCCCCACTCCCCCAGCCTGGGGGTCCTGCCCGGCTTCCTGTGTGGGGCCCGGGAGGGCTCAGCCACCATTAAGTCAATCCCGGAGGCTCCCCCCAGTTCTTCTGATCCTCCCGTTTTTTTTTCTGCTTTCACTGCCCCCTTCTGTAGTCCATCCGTCTTCTCTCCCCGACTCCTGTTTCCTTATCTGGTCCTCAGGGGGGCGTCCTAGGCCAGCCCACTCCTCCTTTGGGTGTCCCAGCACCAGCCTGGCACAAAATGGGGCTCAGTAAGAGTATGTGGGATGTCTGGTTGTTTGGACAGGTGAGTCAAGGAAGGAACTTGACTGTCAAAGCTGAACTGCTAGGTGGGAGACACTGGGAGTGCAGGAAGCGTTAGGTCTAAAGGGTGGAGGGTGGCCGTCCTTTAACCGAGGGGTGGGTGTCGCCCCAGCCCCAGCCCCTTTTGAGTGGGGGCCCCACCAGTCTCACCCCTTCTTGGACTCACGCATCCATCCCGTCATCCAACAGTTGATCCTTACTGAGCAAGCCCATGGCTTGGCCCCGGGCTGGGCACCTGCCACCCTAGCGCGTCCCTTGATGGCCTCTGCCTCCCCGGGGTGGGGGGCCGGGGGGTTGCTTCTGCCCAGGGTGCCCTGTTGGCCCCCGGGCGCTGGAGCAGCATGCTCCTGCTCTGTAGAGAAGGCAGGCTGGGGTGGGGTGCGAGGGGCAGGCCTGCTTTGCCTTGCTGTGGTCGGCTGGCCCCCTTTGAATCCGAAGCCTGGGGAGGGGGCCCCGAACCTGCCCTTCTCCAGGGCTCAGCCGCAGGTCCCAGCCAGCCAGCCCCTCCTGCCCCTAACCCTCCCCGCCTGTCCCGTAGCTGAGTGCTCATGGCCGTCCTGCGCTCCCAGCCCTGACGTTCAGGACTGAGGAAGCGGCCTGGGGCAGCCGTGGCCTGTGTCCCCTTGGGCTCTGGCCGCACCAGGTCTCCCTCTTGAGTTGGGGGTCTGAAGGCTGGACCCCTCCCTCCAGGATTCCCTCCTACCCCTGGGACTACGTCCAGCTCCCCCACCCCCCTTTGTGGGCGGGGGCCTGCCCACCGCCAAGGGCCCCTGGCTGGGAACCTCCAGGGGACCTGCAGGCCTCACCTCTGCCTGGCTGCCCACCTGGCTCCTCCTGTATCTGGCGGCTCCTCCTCTGGCTTCCCCTCCGCTCCCCTGCTAGGTTGACTGCCCTCCCCCCCACCCCTGGCTCTTCTTGCCAGATCTGACCTGTGTGCCCTTCCCTGTGCCCCCTTCTCTGGGTTCAGGACCCTCTGCGTCTCAGCCATCCGACTGTCTGCCTAACACGTTGGTTTTCCTTGCTGAGCCCACACCTGTGGTTACCTGCGTGCTGCCCCGCCCACCTCCCACCTGCGTGCCTTTTCCCTGTCTCCCCCAGTGCAAGGAGGCCTTCCCCCTCAGGGTGACTCAAGTTTCCAGGGAGTCTCCAGTGCCCGGGGCGCAAGCCCCCCCACCCCAGCAGGCCACCACCCCCAGCATCCTCGGGTACCTCTTCCTGTGGGCCTGGCCGCCCAGGCTCTGAGTGACCCTGGGCTATAGCCAGGCTTTTGCACTGTCCCCTTCTCCCCACCTGAATCCCCCCAGACCCCTTGTCACGTCCTGCCAGGCCTGCCCGTCTAAGCGCCGTGTCCCCGCGAGTCCCAGGCTCGGCTCCCCCGTCCTCGCCCCCCCGGACCTTGTGGCCCGTTTGGGGGCTGCTTCCGGGCCTGTCACTCCACACCTCTTCCCATCCTTGCCGCCCCCAAGAGCCACCTCCCTCCACCGAAAACCAGATGGCAGGTGAGACCAGGATCTGTGCCTTTTCTGGGTCGTGTGTGTCTGTGTGGCTTTTCTGGGGGGCTCACCTTGCCGTCCTGCTAATGCTCTACCTGCTCCCCCCCACCAAGGAGCCCCGGCGGCCCCGGATTGTGAACGCCTGGACGGAGGAGGTGAAGGAGCTCCCCTGGAGCAGCACGCCTTCCGGAGGGTCACCCGACGTCTCGCGCCTGCCCCGAGCCGCGACGCTGCTGCCTGGACTGGGGTGAGTTGCATGCTTTTTTTGAGACACCACGATTTCATCAGGCTTACTCAAACATGTCTCAGTTCGAGGAGGTACACATGTAAACCTGAGAGGGGGTCACTTCCAAGGGCAAGTTCTCTGCCACCCCGACTGTGGGGCCGGGCATTCTGGAAGCCGCCGAGAGCTGAGACCCTCGTGCGCCTGCACGGTAAGTGGAGAGCATTGCCTCGGGTCTGGGCTCCTGAGAACCAGCGCGGCCCAGGCACACACAGTAGGTCCTTACGGAGCTTTGCTTAGCGTAGTAATGAAATGAATAGCGGGACGTTTGCCCTCCACCTAAAGCCTGGCTAGTGGGCCCCTTTGGAGACACGAAAACAGCAGTACTTGTCCGCCCTGGAGCTGTAAAAGCGTTTCTGCCCACACGCCATGGAAACATCGGTGGCTGTGAGAATGCTGGGTTCTCACGCGCGAGGCTTTGATAATGTCCTTTAATCAAACAGTGGTTTTTGAGGGAGTTCTTCCCTTGGCCTCATCTCCTCACCCCTGAAATTGCCGCAGGATGGGAATATTTTTGTGCGTTTAAATAAAATCAGTAATGGTGGAGCACAAGAAAGCTGGGGTTACAGCTCCACGAGGCTCTCTGGGTTTCGACATTTGTTTATGGGACCTTCGTTTATTCAAGAAGCGTTAATGGAGACTCGGAGGCCCGGGGGTGGGGTTCTTCTCCAGGGGCCCGAGGCCAGCTTTGCCTTAACGACCAGAGGGTCTAGTCGGATGCCCGGGTGGGTCCCATATGGTGATGTGGCCTGTGTGGTATCTAGCCCAGGTGGACGGGGGCGGGGGTGCTCCCCCAAGGGCACCCTGCTTTCTGCGGTCACGGCAGTGCAGCCCATGGCAGGGCTCCTGAAGGGGCCTTGGGGCGTTTTCAGAGCCAGCAGCTCAGTGGAAGGTGGCTGGCTCTGTGCGCATGTCTGAGACATTCGGGGTAGCCCCTGGGATGAATGAATGAAGGCACTTAAATGGCCGGGATGGTCTGGGGAGGGGATGATGGGAAGGGCTTGGATAATGGGGTCAAAGTTGACTCAACTCTCCAGAAGTTTATGGAGGCTCAAGTGGTCTTGGCCCTGTCCCAGGCCTAGTGCCTTGTTGCTCCACACAGGGTCTCTGTGAGAGGAGATGGGGACCACATCAGACCTGGAGGCCCTGTCTTGGGGTGCACCCGCCTATATGAGCCCTGCAGCCCAGTGAGCAGGGGGGCCCTGTCTTGGGGTGCACCCGCCTATATGAGCCCTGCAGCCCAGTGAGCAGAGGGGCTGGACCCCCGTATTCCTCAAGGGTCTCTGGTTTCCATTGCAGCTTCTGTAAGGCTCTTGCATCAACCAGATTTTGGGGACAGCTCTTCCACAGTCCTGCCCTCCTGCCCCGAATGGGGAATGGGCTGGGGATGTTATTTTGAGCAGGCGAGAAGGGTAGAAGTATCCCAGGGGGCTGACCCTTTTGTCCGCTTGTTTCTACTCCCCAGAGAGGTTGCAGAGTGGTGGGGAGCGTGTGCCCAGGCCTAATTCCAGAGAGGGGGCACCAGGCGGGCTTTGCCCCATGACATTTACTCCGAGGCTGGCATTTGCCACCTGCAAACATGATGATGTGGAGCAGAGCCCGGGAGGGGATCTTTACAAAGGGCAGGATTCGGGCTCTGGGATGTTGTATCCGGAGCTTACCAGAGAGATCTGTGTGACTCATTGGAGCCAAATCCCCACGGTTCCTGGATGCCTCCCTCCTCAGAGACGTCTTGGGAGCCCCTCCAGGTGGGCTGGGCCGATGGGCAGAGTCAGGATGGAGACCAATCCCCAGCCAGTCCCGGACTTTGCCAGTCCCCCACCCCTTCTCCTCCTTGGCGTTTGGGATGGCCTGTCTTTGGGCTGTGTTGAGTTTTAGAGGCTTTGGTGAATGCTCAGCCTCAAGCAAACACATATTTTGGATTTTGTGTGTCATTATGCAGAAAATAGGGGCTTCCCTGATAGCTCAGTTGGTAAAGAATCCACCTGCAATGCAGGAGATCCTGGTTCGATTCCTGGGTCAGGAAGATCTGGAGAAGGGCTAGGCTGCCCACTCCAGTATTCTTGGGCTTCCCTGCTGGCTCAGCTGGTAAAGAATCCACCTGCAATGCGGGAGACCTGGGTTCGATCCCTGGGTTGGGAAGATCCCCTCAAGAAAGAAAAGGCTACCCACTCGAGTATTCTGGCCTGGAGAATTCTGGGGACTGTAGAGTCCATGGGGTCGCAAAGAGTCAGACACGACTGAGTGACTTTCACTTTTCACGCAGAAAATAGAGAGTGATAGGTATAATCGGTCAAGTTCTTCGTTTAAAGAAGTTGAAACGTAGCATCATCCATCTGCCATTGTCCAGTGTTGAAAGAAAGGATCATTTTCAGGAAAATTCTCTTTTGGTGGCTTGGCCCATGCCTGGGCAGTGAGGGGTGGAAATGAGGCCCTAGCCCACCAGCCAGACGGGTAGGAGGGGTTCTCTGGCCGTTTGTCATTGTACTGGGCCGGCCCCCAGGCCGCCTTTAGCTGAATGCTTCCGGGTCGCAGAGGTATTGGGAAGAGATGGTGGTCTTGCTGGAAAGCTGGTCCTCGGGCCCCACCTGCTCCCCCCACGGTGGAGCGGGGATGGGGAAGGGGCTGAGAGCATAACTCAGTCTCTGTGCGTCTCAAAAGGAAGAAAACGCCCCTTTTCTCCCCCTTCAGTTTCTCACTGCAGGTTGCCTGTGGGACTGATGGCAGTTTTCAGGGCCCCTGACCTAGTGTCTCCTGACTCGTGACTCAAACCCCAAACATATTTCCAAGCACATTTCTCCAAATAATGTCAAAACTGGCAAGACTTAAGGGCATCGGGAGGCATGTGTTTCTTATTCATTCATTTATATGAAGGAACTTAAATGTGTGGTTTTTTTTTATGACCAATCTGACTTCCAGAAAGAAAAAAAAATCACCCTTCTTTAATGAGCTTGCTAATGAATTTTTCCTTGAAAAGAGGAAGGCAGCTTTACACAGAAGGGGGTGTGGAGGGAAACAAATTAAGGCCCCAAAGGGTTAAAGGGCAGTGGACAATGTAGAAACCGCCATTGTGAGCTGAATCAGAAGGTCTGGGGTGCTGGGAGCATTTTCTTTTTAGAAGACTGACATTTAACAAGTTGCAAATGAGCCCCAAGAACTGGTTCCTTTTTCCATCTGCGGCTTTGAGCTCTGCCCCCTGTCCTAAAGAAGGACGTAAAGGAGTCTGACCAGCCTGGTCTCCTATCCCCGGTTTGAACAGATGGAAAATTCTGGAAATGAGTTAGTTACAGTTTTCCAAATGAGGCCATCTGAAGCATGGGGTCCCCATGTTGAAAGGAAGCGAGTGGTCTGGTAGGGGAAGGAGTGGAGGCTTTCACTCTGGGGTGCCCCCGGTTTCTGTGGGCAGCCCCAAGCCCCAGCTGCCTGCCTGTGGCTTCAGGAAGCCGGGCCATTTTTGGGGGGGAGTGTCTAAGGGAGGGGTTATGCTGAGGTAGCTGCCAGTCATCAGCGTGGCATGAGTCAGTGTTTTGGGGCCAGGAGGGAAGAGAATGAGGGGACCCTTGGAAATCCACCGGGAGGAGGTCAGCCCCCCACAGGGTCCATTCCTAGGCACCCGCCCCCCACATGCTGCAGCAGCAGTGGGAGGGGTCTCAAGTTCACTTGGATCCAGCAGAGGTCGAAGGTCCCCTTCCTGGTGCCCAGACGACCTGCTAGCAGTGCCCAAGAGGCTCATTTCTGAGGGCTCACACATCCTCGAATTCCTAGTGCCTTCCAGGTTTTAGATACTTGGCCCCTTATCCCTGTCTTTGGGGAACTCGCCAAGGGCCTCGGCGGGCGTGAGGGGCCTGCAGGCAGAGCAGGTGCGGGGCGGCCGCGGCCGGGGCAGGCCCCAACTTGGGAAGGGTGTGTGTGTGTGAGAGAGAGAGAGAGAGAGGAATTAATTAAGGGAGAGGAGAGTGGTGGAGGGCGTAGTCATGACTCTCCTAATTGCTCTCCAATTTCTTTGGGCTTCAACAAAAATCCAGATGGAGGGTTCTTAAGTCCTCCTTCCTGGGAGTCGGGGGGCCGGGGTGGCGGGGGAGGCGGGCTGCCCACCACCTTCTGCCGGGCGTCTCTTTGCAGAGTGAATAGGGTCTTTGGCAGGGGTTTAAGGAGGGGACTTAGCCTGGGAGCTCCCAGGGCGGTGCAGATGGAGACAAAGGCCCCGCAGAAGGAATGTGGGGAGCCCCCCACGGAGAACAGCCACCTGGGGATAATTGGGAGGCCCAGCGCAGATGAGTTTTCCCAGGTTCTGTGAATACATTCTCTCAATAGAAGGTGCCCTTTCTTCACATGAAAAGAGGAAACCTCAATTACCTCCCCCGAAACAGAGAGTGAGTGAGTGAGTGTGTGTGTGTGTGTGTGTGTGTGTGTGTGTGTGTGTGTTCCCTCCGGGGGCTGCGGCGGGCCCCTCGCCCTTGTGTGCGTGGCGGGGGCTCCAAGCCGCACAAAGCACGTCTAAACAGCCGCCCCGTCGGCGCGACCCCAGACCAGCCCGGGCTCCCCCGACCCAGGGCTTTCTCTTTGCAAGTTTCTCAGGACGGGGAAGCAGAGTCGCCCTGCCTGTAAACAAGAATCTGATCAAATCAGGCCCGATGCCCGAGAAATAGCCAAAGGAGACAGAAGTCCAGGGTGGAAAGTTGGGGAGGAGGCCAGCCTGGGGGGCCAGAGGCTGATCGCACGTCTGTGCTGGCCGTCCAGACTCACAGCAGTGCTGGTCCTTCTGGCCCTTTCTCTGGGCCGTTCCGTGGTGGGGGGAATGGAGTCATTCCTTCGGGTTAGGAAACTGGGGCTTCTGGGGCTCAGTGATCCGTGGGGCTGATGCTTGCACTTAGGAAAGGTAACAGAGGGGGGCAGTCGGCAGGGGGTTCAGGGTCGGGGCCACCCCGAGCAAAGGGCCGGTCTGAGCTGGAGGGAATCAAGTTGGCACCCTCGCTGCCCCTAACTGTCCTGAGGACGCGGGCCCCTCTGGAGGAACCCCGGGGCAGAGTCCCTGCCATGAGATGAAGGCATCCTGGTTCTGAGTCTCAGCTGCTGTGTTTGTTGCTGCTGGCTTCTGGGCCTCAGTTTCCCCATCTGTAAAACGAGGCAGTGGCCGTTCAGTTCTCTGTATTCTGTGAGGCGGAAGAAGCCGGGGATGTCAGCGTTAGAAAGACAAGGGCTCTTTCACCAGAGGAGGGGATGGGGGTCCCCAGGTGTTCAAATTGGGCCCCACTGGCCTCCTGGCTGGGGGCAGGGACCCACTGCTACTCAGGCCTGGTCAGAGGAGAGAGTCCAGATAGGGCACTTTGGGTGCCCAGGGTCAGGCAGCAGCTCAGCATTGGTCCTCTGGGGACCTGGTTCCAGCCTATGCTCAGCTCCCACTGTGACTATGACCTTGGTCCCTGGTGGGCCTCAGTTTTCCCATCTATGAAATGGGGGCAGTGCAGGATCACGGTCACCTCAGGGTCCCTGGGGTCCAGGGTTCCTTCCAGCTGCTCGGGGGTTTGTTTGCTGAGTTTTGAGAGTCAGAGGGCTGGAGATCACTGGTCTTCTGTCTCCCCACCCTCTTTTACTTCCAAGACAAGGAAAGCAGAGACCCAAGGGAGCCCCGGGTGGGAAGCCCACCGCCTGTGGCCAGGCAGCAGCGTTGGCAGTCGTCAGCCAGTCCTCTCGGTCAACTCTTTGTGAACATGGATCCTAATAAGGCTCGTGGCCCAGAGCAGCTTGGTGGCCTATTCTTCCATGCAGGTGGGCTGCCGGCCAGGCCTGGAACACCTTTCTGGACCATGTAATGAGCCTGGCCCGTGGCTGCCATCCCAGGAGGGTGTGCCAGGCCGCACCCTCCCCTGCGGCTCACCTCGGGGCCTTTTAGTCATGAGACCCTCCACGGCACCTCCGTGGGCATCCTGGCCCGCTCCGTGGAGAACTTCCTGAAAAAAGCCATCAGGCAGAGAGGCAAAGTTCTGGAAAAGTCATCAGCCGCCGGGCCTGCCCCGGCTGCCCATCCCAGACTCAGTTTTGCAAACATCCCTCGCTGTCTCTTTGTGCTTCGGTGCGTGGTAATAAAGAGCGCACAAAACCCACGGTCAGGTCTGCACCCAGTGATTACCACGGTGAGCGCAGCCTTTGTTTGCTGACCTTGGTTGCTACAATACCTGCGAGCTGAAATGAGGGATCGAGAAATTGCCAGCTTCAATTAGACCGGCAGCCTGCCTTCCCAAGTGCCTCTGCCACTCTATCCATTAACGGTAAACATACGCCAAATAGGCCTTAATTCTCTCTAATTGCCCACTCCTGAAGCAAAGAGTGAAATTCCAGGAAGAGGCGTATGTAAACATCCCCTAGCCCCCGGCCAACTGAAATTAGAGGACTGATGGGGGCCGGCAAGAGGTTGGTGGTGGTGGTTGGGGGGGACGTGATTTCAAAAGCTGTCCCAATTACCTCTGCTATTTTCATAAATGAGCCCATAATGTTCCGCGCCCTGGCCTTCACAAAGGTACAGGAAATGAGGTCCGCCAAAAGCTTGCATCTGTTGGGGAAAGTTGTGAGGGGGTGGTCTCTCCTCAACAGGTAGGAGGGCGAGGCTGATGACTGTTTGGATAGACTGCTGGCTTTTATTTCCGAGAATCACCATTTTATGAAAAATCGTCCTTTTCCATCTTTCCCCTGCACTCAACACCCACAAACAATATTTTTTTTTTTCCAATTTCAATACAGTACTTATTGTATAGAAGAAACGTAGACTAATTAGTATAATATAAAAGATTTTGGGGGAAAAATATATTACAGTAGGAAAAATTCTTTAAAAATTTTATTTCTTTAAATTTATTTTTTAATCGGAGGAAAATTGCTTTACAGTATTGTGTTGGTTTCTGCTCTACAACACAAGTCAGTCATAGTCATATATATACACAGATACACACAGATATATAATTATGACTGATCCACAAATGATTTGTACCAGACATGCCAGATCAAGGAGGTCCTATTTGCCCCTAGAATAGAGGAACTTTAAAAATCTTGAGAGGCAGTATACGTGTAGGTGATTCATGATGATGAACAGCAGAAGCTATCACAACGTTGTAAAGCAGGTATCCTCCGATTAAAAAATATATATCCTATGATAAACCATAGTGGAAAAGAATATTAAGAAAAGAACGTAAATCTATGTATCACTTTGCTGTACCACAGGAAGTAGCAATGTTGCAAATCAACCATACTTCAGTAAAAAGAAAAAGAAAGAAGACATTTCCTGAGAAGCAGAGCTAGGGTTTTCTAACCCTCCTAAGTCCCGGAGGATGATTTTGGTGTAGTCAGCAGGGCTTCCTTCCTGCGTGGATCGTGAGCACAGCACATGCGTTTATGAGGTCTCCAATCAGTTACTTGCGACAGTTGTTCCTCTGGACCCTAGAAGGAGGCTTGTGTTTTCCTTTGGTTCCAGACGCTGACTCATCTCTGCAGTGTCTTCGTCTGTTACGACTGCAACCCAGGACCACAGTGCTAATCCATCACCGCGGTCGCAGGGCTGAGACACGCGGAGCTCAGAATCCAAGGCATGACTTTGCCGGGGCAGTGTCTTCAGTCACAGCCTGGGGGTCTGCTCGAAATTTAATTACGAACAACCAGGAAGCTCTGAGGGCTCCCGGGGTCCCTGGGGACAGAAGCAGGAAAAAAACCCAGATGCCCTGAGCTGCTTCTGATTTCCCTGGTCCTATCAAAAGACACCAAAGAGAACCATGCTGGAAAGACATAGCAAAGCCCTTTCCTGCCTCTTTGTCCTGTGGGAAGGGGCGCTGGCTATGGTCTTGCCGTGTGTTCCGGGTCTGGAGCCCGGTCGTGCCCTTAGGACTGTGGTGATGATGACAGGGCCACCGCTGGGTGCTCATGGGTCTCTGGGGAAGGGCTGGAAACTCTCCTGGCGTTGGGCGGTCCACAGTGTGGTACCCAAAGCGCCCTTAGATTACCAGTCTACCCTGGTCACCCATGGGCTGATGACTGCTTGATTACCTCTGGTTTTTAAAAAAGACTTCCTGTTTCTTGCTTATAAAATCAACCAGTTAGGGGAATAGAGTGTTTGGGAAGCTCAGGGTCAGGGGAGGAATTCTTAGGAGGCTTGGAAGCAAGAGGTGAGCCCCCTGGGGCCCTGGCCAAGTCTTGGGCACCCCAGTGGGTGAAGCACCCAAACGACTTAAGTCAGGGCAGGTGCTTGGAGAGGACCTCTTCCTTCCTCGGGCTTCCTTGAAGGGCTGCTGGACTCTCCTTGCTCTTTCTTCCTTTTCTCAAGCTTTTATTTCTCATTCTTGCCTCAGCTTGGCTCCCCCCTCCCCTTACAGTGCCGATCAAACCTCAGTCATCAGATCAAAGAATTAACAGGGACCTCCTATATAGCCCAAGAGAACTCTATTCAATACCCTGTGATAACCTATCATGGAAAAGAATCTGGAAAAGAATAGATACATGTATTTGCATCACTGAGTCACTTTGGTGTACACTTGAAAGTAACACAACATGGCAAACATCAACTATGCTTCAGTATAAAGTAAAAAATTAAAAGAAAACACACCAAACCTCCCTCGGTCATCACAGACCACCTGTTGGCCACACTTACCTACCAGAGCCTCCTGGGTGTATATTCAACATCAACTCCCTTAAAATATTTTTTTAAAATGACTAACCTTTTTTTTTTTTTTCTGAGCAGTTTTAGATTTATGGAAAAAGTAAGTGGCAAATACAGAGCATGTGTGTCACCTGCACCCCACCCCCCCACACCCCGTTTCCCCTGAGGTTAACGTCTGGCACCAGCGTGGCGCACTAGTTGGCACTGATGAGCTGACCTTGATAATGTAGCTGTTAAGTGAAATTCATGGCTTCCATCGTTCTTTGTATCCTATAGTCTGTGGGTTTTGACAGATGTATAATGACACATGTCTATCACTGTTCAGCTCATTCTTTTTAAACGTTAAGGCAAACACTTGACCTCAAAGATTTGACATGCCTGGTCAGGGCTTTTTATATGGGGCTGGTGAAAACTTGTAGGTAATTGTTCAGGTGAAGCCGTCTGTCCAGGCAGCCCTGTCCTTCATCTTCGATCTCATGGTTTTAGGACATGCTGCTCATTCAGGACCCCACAACCCTGGCGTGGTCCACAGCACACTTCCCTAGTCTCAGCCAGGGCCCTCTGACCGCCCCCCCATCATGCACACGCTACCCTGGCTCGGCTGTGCCCCGCAGCGCCCTTCTTCCTGGTGGAACGCACTTCCAGAAAGCCTTCTATGCAGCCTTGAGCATGTCCATGCGGCCGCACGAACCCCTGTCGGCTCCAAAGACACCTGGGGCTGGGAGAGGGGGAGCTTGGCAGCTAAGCGCGCTCATGAGTGAGTGTAAAGAAAAGAGAAAGGCTTGCTTTCATCAGGTCCGCCCTTGAAGTTGGGGTGTCTCTGCTTCCGTTGGGTGAGATTCTCTTTGAGTGACCCAGTGCTTTCTCGTTCCAGCCGAAGCCATCACCTGGAATCCTCCACGGTCCAGGACCTCGAACCCGCCACCCCAGCACCCTCTAGCTCCATAATCGTAAGTTGCTGGGATGTGGGGGGCCACATCTGAGGCTCGTCGGCAAGGGAGGCAGGCTGCCGCCCCGACAGCCTCGTGGGGAGGGATGGGTGAGCACTGGTCGGGAGCCCCCGCCCAGGGAACCAAGCTGAGTGTGGACCTCGGGGGCTCACGTTCAGAGCGCTCCCCCACCCTCATGGCATCTCTGTGGCAAAGGGGTTCTACAGGCGGCCTCAAGTGCCGGACCCCCACAGAATTCCTCCTCTTTCACAAAGGAAGTGGGTGGCCCTTTCATGACCGAGCCTCACTCTGGCTCTTGTGTGGCAGGGCAAACTAGGATGGAAGTGGCCTAGCTGGGGGGCCCTGCGACGGGCCAAGGAGAAAACGCGGGCAGTGGCACCAGCCTCTGAAACCGTCTCCGAGCTTCAATAATCTTCGCTCGCCTCCCCCCTTGAAATGTCCGGATGGACAGATTTTCTGTCTTCAAAGCTTCCAGCCAAACCTCTTCAAGATTTTTATTGTTTGGGACTGGGACGCTTAGCAATAGTGATGGGTAGTTCCTTTTTTATTTGCCTTGAAAGGCCAAAATACATTTTTGTGTGTGTGACTATAGACAAAGCCGTCTGCTTTCAGATGAACTCTATGTCCGTCGGCTCCCACCAGGGAGATTGTATATACCATGTGTGTCTCTGTGTATTCTTGGGTCTTGAAACAGGTTTCTCATAGGGATGACCATCCCAAGGGAAGTGCCTGCTCCACCTACGGGCCTGGGGAGTCCGACCCCTGTCTGTGCAGGGTGTGAGCCCGGGGTGGGGGTCTGGCTGCACTAACACGTATTCTGCCTGTGCCTGCATCTGCCATGCTTATGTGTCAAGGACTGTGGGTTGTGTGCACTTTGGTGGTCAGCTGGGTGAGAGGGGGGTGGGAGGTCAGAGATACTGTGAATGTCCTATTGTTCTGGTTGGGAAATCATTTTGCTGGACTCTGTTACCTGATCCAAAGATGCGAGTGGATGAATAAATGAATGCAGGCATGAAAGAATGAATAAACAAACAAATAGTGTAAAGAAGTGTACCCTGAATGAGATCCAATTGGATACATAGGAGATCAATAAATAAGTCGATGAAGCATGGAGTCTTCTTAGTATGTAAATAGGGCCATGCAGAAACCAGTATCAGGTTACCCTGGACTAAGGCACATGAGCAATTCAAATACACAGCATCTAAAATTTGTCCATAAAGGAAGAAAAACCGACATGACGGAAAGAAAGAATAAGGAGTCTGGATGTGTAAACTAGGGGTGAGGCTGGGATGGTGAGGCCCATCAAAGGGAAAAGATGAGAGAGAGGGCGCCAGGGGTCGACAGCGGCAAGGAAAATAGAAAGATGCAAATTAATACCTAAAAAATAGGGAAGGTAACTTTTAAAATACTCACCATAAGGAGGACTATGTCAGGTTATTATAAGCCAAGCATTAGGATTAATCCAAATACGTGCTCTTGGCAGTAGAAAAAAGGAGAAAACACCAGAGGAAGAGCTCAAAGGATAGTTAAAAATGAAAAAAGACCTAGGGGACCAGAGATGAGATTTAACTTTAACTCAAAGTTTTCTAATTCTGGGCACACATAAGTAAATACTAACGTGAGAGAAAGTAAAAAAAAAGAAAAGAAAAAAATGAAGGGAAGGATGAGTAGTGGACATACCTGGATCCAGAAGGGAGCAGGGCAGAAAGGGTTTTGAGTCATCCACTCCTGCAAACTGAGGTCTGTTCCATGAAAGGATTAAAAAAGAGAATGAAATATCTAAATAAAAATCTAGTAATGTAGAAGAAAAAGTAACGGGTGTGAAGTCCAGAAAAACAATAGTGGGTGAATAGATAAACATAGGAAAGAAGGCAGTGCTAGGAGTTGAGTAATAGACGGTCACGAATCGAGGGTTGTGGTTAGTCTGACCCTGAAAGCCACCGGACTATCAAAAAATGATAAGTATCTCAATAAACAAGTGAGCGAGCCTCTAAAGAGACAAAGATGGCATGGAGTGAGGTGGGGGAGAGGCTGTGGTCACACCAAAGCTCCAGGAAAATTAAAGAAGGCAAGTGAGAAAAAGTGAGAAAGGAGGAGATGTAGAAAGTTACAATGAAAGAAAGAATAAAAAAGGTGATAAATGAGTAGATCCTTGGAAGAAAGTGAGGCTAGGAATCCAAACTGTGGATCAAAATGGGTCAAAACCTGAGCACGCACTCCATTAATAGAGGAGTAAATACCTAATAAAAAGAAAAAAACAGGAAGGAAGAATGGTGTGAATGAGTGAAGGAAGGAAAGCAAGAAGGAATGAATGACAGAGAGGCAGAGCTGAAGGGCCTGGGCCTAGGCTCCATCAGGTCGTGGCACCTGAGCTCCAGAGAATGCAAGAAAGAGAGAGTTAAAGAGAGAAACAGTGAAACTGAAAATGGGAAAGAAATGACAAGTCAGAAGTCCGATTAGAAATGCAAAAAGAAAAAGGAATATATCAATAGGTAGATAAATGCATATATAAGAGAGAGTTGTTCTAGGAATAAGAATGGGAGGGGGTGTGAACCATGCACATGGATGAATTCACATCTGGGCTTCTGAGATGGGCCACCACCCACCCAACCGGCAGGCAGGTCAAAGCTGAAATACCTAAGGGAGGACCTCCGAGAGGCCAGGGAGGGGAGGACCCATTGCTTATAGATTATCATGTATCCAATTAGGTATCCTGCCATCTAGAAGTGTAAAAACAATTACCAAAGAGAAAGGAAGCCTGAATGGGTGCATGAAGGCATGAATGAATGAGAACAAAAATTTGCAGTGACCAATGAGGCTGATGTTGCGAGGGGTGTTAGGATTCATCCACTTCCTGGTGCCCAATCTCCAAAAGAAAGAAAGGCAGTAAGGAAAAAGCCTGAGAGACTGGTAGAAGAGAACAATTAATTAAGATGGGAGGAAAAAAAAATAAAAAGCTTTTATAAAGAAGTAAAAAAAGATAATAAGTATGTCAGTGAAGTCTGTGAGAGGGGACTGGTTTAGCACAGATCATCCACATTCATTCAGATCTCTGGCCCCAAAGTTGATAAATAGTAAAAAGAACAATAGCATAAATAAAAGCCTGAAGGAATAAATGCACGCATTCCATGAGAAGGCAAGGAAAGGAGTTTGAAAAATTGAAGGAGAGACTGGGAGAAAGAAAGATGGGAGAAGAAATGAAAATAGATGGATGGAAGAAAAAAGGCACTTCCTGGATAAGTACTTCATAAACATATTATTCATTAAATAAAAAAACTAGTAAAAGCTGAAGTTCATCAGAAAGAAAGAATAAATAAGGGATGGCTGTGTGAATGAATGAATGAGGAAGGGGGCTTTGATGAATTTGCCTCTGCACTTGAGGCTCTTGAGAATAAAAGAATGCCCAAAGAGCCAGTGAGGAAGGAGGAGGGGAATAGACAATTATGACAAGATGGATATTAGCAATAAAAACATACTGAATGAATAAATAAATATGTACATAAATTACGAGAGGGAGGGCCATGCTAGAACAGAAAAAGAGAAGGCACCATGCAGCAGAAATTAAGAGTGATTCAGAACTGGGCTCCTAAGAGAGTTAAAGTCCTCCCGCAAATCGCCAGTACAAGGAATTAGTGAACCGAAGGGGCCCTCATGGACTGGTGCCGAGAAGGCTCCAGGAACTACAGATGACGCTTAATCCAATTCTGTGCACCTGAGGTCCGTAAATAAAAGAATAAATATTGAAACAGAAGAGTGACAGAAAGAATGAATGGACCCATGAATGACTGAATTAGTAATGGAGATGCCTGAGGCGGCCCATGGGATTGTCACTCATCTCATTCCGGACACCTGAGGTTCCTAAGAGTAAAAGAGAAGCAGAGAAAGAAATGAGGCGAAATGAAACTTAAGTGAGAGAGAAAGGTGAGGGACCCAATAGAAAGTTAGTGAAGATGTGGGTGTGTCCGAGAGAAGGGTCTGTTAGAATTAGGGGTGAGGTGGTCATCAATCCTAATGATGGATAAGGTCATCTAGTCCCCTTTTCTAGGGCAAAGGAGGATGGAGAGATTAAAAAAGAAGCAAAAAAAAAAAAAAAAAGAAGAAAGGAAAGATGGTAAACCAACCACCAAAGTGATAAATGGTTCGTTAAGAGAGGTTGTCTGAACAGGAATGATAATTAGTTTACATACTACTCCTTAAATAGATAAACGCATTACACCTTTCCGAGAATAAATGAAAAATAGAGCAAATACCCAGCCCCAAGACAAGGCTGCACCTCCAGCCTTTTATTATCTTTATATCATAAAATATAGGCAATGGAGTTCCATAAATAAAAGAATAAATAGCAAGATGTAAAAGGTGACTAATGGCGAGGAAGAAAGATTGCAAAGGCAAGTAAGCACATAGGCCGATGATGGTTATTTTGCACGTGGAGTTTTGACCGCTATAATGATTTCCCAGGATAAGCCAGGATAAGAATGAAAGGAAGGGCAAATGTGAGACTGCATGAATGAAGGAGATGGTGTTGCTTGGACCAGGGGTGTTGCATGTGGGATCCTGACTCATCCTTCTTCACCTGAGTTTGTAAGAATGAAGGAATGAAGAGAAGCGTGAGAGAAATAAGAAAGCAGGAATGGAAATAATGTATAAACAAATAAATAGGAGAAGGGAGACCTTCATGAACCAAGGGCTATGATTAAAGTCATGCTGTTGAAGTCAGTAGGTAAAGGCATCAAATCTAAGTGGATGAGTGAATGAATGGAAGAAATGGATGCATGGAAGGAAGGGAGGAAAGAAGGCAAAGGAAGACGGGGAATGGAAGAGAGGGAGGGAGGGCTTCCTGATTGGGGCCCCGGGGTCCCGCCAGCTGGATGGAGTGGGTGGCCCTTGGCATGCGGTGTGCTTGTGACGTGCACTTCCCTGGCGGGGAGGGGCTGGCTCAGGGGGACCCTTGCCTGGAGCACCACTGTCACATCCTGGCTGTGGGGGCCATCTCACCTCATCGCTCTCATTCCGTTTTCCCCATGTGTGGACGTGGAATGGCATCGGCTCCCCGCTTGGGTGGATCGTGGGGGCAGATGCTGCCCTGCCTGTTGGCAGTGCCCCGTCTAGAGCCCGGGAGAGGCAGAAGGGCTCGGGCCTGGGAGCCTACAGAAGGTTGCGGGAACAAGGGGTGTTGGGCCAGGTGGGTGTCCTGGCCCCTCCCTGGGCGAGGGTCACCTGCGAGGGAGGCTTTTCCCGCCAGGGGGCAGCAGAGGGTCGGGGAGCAAGGGGCCCTGGGTGGTGCGTTGTCCTGGGAGGGGTGCCCCTAGCTTCCAGGGCCCGCTGCGCTGTCCTGGGACGGGGTGTGGGGGCCCCCTCACCTCCAGGACCTGTGCATGGGAGAGGCGGGGGGGAAGGGGGCCGGCAGGGCCTCATCACAGAAACCTTGTTCCCGCAGCTTTCTGAAACATGTCCCGGAGCCCTCCAGCTGGGTCTTCCGTGGGTGGGCTGCCGTCCCTTCCCAACTCGGGGTGTCCTGGGGCAGGTGCATCTCAGCCCGGGGTTGGCAGAAGTGGTCCCAGGACCCTGCCCCCTTCCCGTTGGCATCCCCGGAGCCCGTTTCAAGGCCTTGGTACCTTCTCAATTGTTTTGCGATGTACTCTCTGTATTTCGGCAAAAAAAAAAAAAAATGGCCTTTGCATGGTGTGTTGTTGAACGTGTCTTCTCTCCTCCGGCCCCGCCCCCGCCCTGCCCCTCGCTGGGGCTGTTTGTACTGATAATTTCTATCCCCAGGGACTCCCTGGTTCTGTGTCGTCTCTTTTTCTCTGTATTGGTAGGATTTGTGCACCTGTGTGTGGTGTGCCCGTGTCTGTCTATCAATCCAAGGATCAAAGTCCCTTTTGACTGATCGATTCCAGTCTGGGACATTACAAAACAAAATAAAATTGGATTCCTAACCAGTGCCCTGACCGTGAGGAGCCCACTTGGCTGGACCCAGGATTCGTGGCTGGGAGCACAGGGGAGCCTCCAGGCGAGGGGCGGGGAGGAGTCTGGTGGAGGCGGGGCTGAGGGGCTGGTTACCCCTCAGGAGTGACTTTGGGCCCTGGGTGGGGACAGGGGGTGGTCGGGGTGGAGTGGGGTGGGGTCGGTGGGGTTGGTCGCTGGTCCAGGCCAGCGATGCCCCAGGCGTGCTCGGACGTCGGGTGGCAGGGAGGCCGAGAAGCAGGAGCCACAGCTACAGACAGGGTCCAGGGAGGGAGCCAGGGGCCCAGGACCAGCCTCTGCACTCTTAGCACGGGCCCTGAGTGGACGCAGGCGGCCTTTAGGAGACGGAGGACGTGGACTCGAGTGTCAGGAGCTACCCTTCCCTGCCTCCAGCACCACGTGTCTGGGCCACGTGACCAGGGCTTCCTGGGCCTGAGATGGCGCTGGGGCTTCAGGACTCTGCTGTCTTCTCTTTTGGAATCTAGGGGGCCCTGGGTTTTGCCTGAAGCCTGGGGTGAGGGGGCGTACTTATTAACCCCAAAGACAGCTACTCAGAGAAGGGTCCCCAAAGAGCTCCCCAACCAGCCCAGGTGTCATCGTGTGGCCGGAGTGGGGGTCGGAGGGGCTTGGGGCAGGAAGAGCCTGAGAGGGTCTTTTTGAAGAACCCCTGTGTGGTGGTTTTAAAAGGCAGCTGAGGGTCGAGAAGATGGAGAAAGTGTTAGGTGTAGAATGGAAGGGGGTCACAGCCCAGTTCAGAGAGGAGATGGAGAGGGACAGAAGCAGACCCCTAAGGAGGGGGCCCTTCTCCCAGGACCAAGAGGCTGTCCAGAGGTCACGTGGGTGGAAATAGGCAGGTGGGGAATGTCCCAGGGGGAGGGTGGGTTGGGATTGGATGAGTTCTGTCCTTTTAGGAATGCTGGGGATCTGAGGGTCACTGGGTCAGGCTTTCTGAAGGTCTCCAGTTCGGGGACGCTGGGTTTCAGCTCAGGGCTCCGAGGGCTGCAGAAGCCAGGGGTGGAAGTTCCACTTGGGCCCCGGTCTGGTTCTGTCCATGCCCGACCCACGTTGGGTCTCAGCGCTCCTCTCTGATCACGGCCTGGCTCAAGTGTGTGCTTCTTCTCTTTCCTTCTTTTTCAAAGAAAGACAAGTTTTGTCTGTTGACTTTGACCTTTGCATGCACCCCTTGCACAAATCCTTCACTTGATGGCACCAGGAGCTACAAGTCTCCTAGGATTTCTGTACGACTCCCAACTCAGGGAGGTTGGCCTTGGGGCTGACCTGCCAGAGGGCGGAGGGCGGAGGCTGGGTCTCTGGGGTTGATGGGCCAGAGGCCCTGTTGTGATCTTACTGTAAATGGTGTGGATAGCACATGACCTGGAACAGATCACCCATCACTTGACATATCACTCATCTTTATTTCTCTCCTTCAGATTCTGTTTATAAGCACACTATTTTTTTAATGGACATCTAATTTTGTAAAATGAGCATCCATTTTTTAAACCCAATTGCTATTCTTCACCACGTACACATTTTTTTTTTTTTTTTGCATCCCACCTTTTCCATTTAATATTCTGCTGTCAACATTTTTCTTTCTTCCATATACTTCATCACCTCACTGGCTGCCTTGTGTCTCATTGAGCGGCTGTGTCAGTCATTCACCACATCAACCTGCTATTATTACTTTTGCTATGCATAATTCATCTTTTTTAATGTTACAAATTATGCCACAGCTAATAACTTAGCACACCCACTTTTTTTTCATTCTTATGAATTATTTTCCCACACCGAGAAATGATCTTTGCTTTGTGGTATGTCAATTTCTCCTGCTACGCTGTGAACCCTTGAGGGCAAGGAGCTTGTTGCATTGATCTTTGTATCTCTAATGCCTGAAATGTTGTAGATACTAAATGTTAGATGAGCGGATAGAAGGGTGGATGAAGATGTGAGTGGGTGCCTGGTTGGTTGTTGGAGGAGAGGATGGGAGATTGGATGAATAAATGGAGTGGTGAATGAACGGATGAATTTTCTGGTGTTGAGTTTCTTGAGGAAAGGCCAGGAGTTTTTGTATGACTACTAATTTCAGAAGGCTTGTAGCATTTTATGATGTCCAGTGATGTATTAGCATTTTGTTAAGATGTTGCTAATTTATCTCTGTTAAAAAGTGTTTTTCTGTCATTTTAACTTGCACTGCTTTGATGACTAATGATGGTTGAACATTTTAATGTGTTTGTTAAAAAAAATTGCATCTTTTGTGAACTGTTTGTCCAAGTCCGTTGGGTCATGGCTTTGTGATGAGACTGGCCAAGGATGGAATGAGGGTCCTTGGGGTGTAGTGAGCCCTTCATCACTGGAGTCATTCAAGGGACAGGACAGGCAGATACTTGATGAGGGTAGCTTTAAGGAGATTCTATCAGTAGGAGTGGGGTTGGCCTAGATGACCCTTCAGGTCTCTTTGACTCTTCCTGGGAGATGTGCATTGGGATGATATCCTCCCTTTAGCAGGCCAGTGATGTTTAAGGCTGCTTCTCCTGGGTGGGTTTGTGCATTTATGATTTATAAACTCTCAACTCACCCTCTGTAACTCTTGTGATGCAGGAATCTCTTTGACCCTTCAAGGTCCAGACAACTGTGCTGCCATCTTGAATAGTTAAGTGGTGGCCTTCCTGCGCTCCCCCCCCACCCCCATTTCACTTTGAGGAAGACAATCCCTTGGATCACTACTTGCCACCTCTCAGGGCAATCAGCTGAGGCAATCTGCTGCCCTTCATGTTTCTAGTGCTCCCTGATGTGTGAGCCAATGTCCCATTGGCCTCCATGGTGGTCTTTGGGATTTAATTAAGTATTGTCAGATCAGGTCAGATAGTGAATCTGCCTTCAGAAATGGGGCAACTCAATTCCACGAGCCAAGGAGTAGAATGGCCCCCAATGTCTCCTTGGGCTTCCCTCATGGTCCACCCGAGGGGTAGCCAGGTCTCAGAGGTCGCCATGGCCATTCGGGAAAGGCACATAACCCAGAAAGGCCTCGCCCCTGCTTACCAGAACACCCTCGGCATGCAGCCAAGGGCCGTGTCTTCCCACCGACCATCTACTATAGCACTGAGCACTGTTTGCCTGTGTCAGAATTTCTCACC